AAGTGGAACCAAGTACACACACACACACACACACAGAACGTCAAGTTAAAATCAGCCAGTAGCTGTGTGTGTGTTATTCTAATCAAGACACACACTTGAGATAAGTCCTTCACAATGCTGCTTTGTAAAACAGAAAACTACACAGATTCTCCCAAAAAGACAACGACCCACTGAGAGTAAAAATGACAAATCACAGCTGAGAGGCGCTTCCTTCCAACTCATCGACCAGAAATACACAAACCGCTTCTTTCAAACATTTCAAACTTGACACCTCACTTCCTCTGGCCCTCAACACACCTGCCAAGTCTGAAGGTGTTAATGATTCATTTTACAAACATTTACTCWTCAGTTGGACTCAGAAAAACAGATATTGTTGAAGAAATGATGCCATTTAAAACTCATTTCAAGTAAGAATTGGTTCATTGTAGCTTTTGTTTGTGATGGTGTTACAAGTCTGTTGGAACCAGTCTCTGGTCCGGTGGTGAGCGGACTGGACTCCTGTTCCTGCTGAACTGAGCCAGTGGTTCTATAGGACTGATTATCAGCTCAGTAGGCACAGGAATCCCAGCCCAGATTTCTTTTTCCTCATCAAATGTTGGCTATAAACATCTCATTTTCAATATACACAAATATTCAAAAACCAAGCAAACTTAAAAGAAACCAGAGTTGTCCAGATTCATTGAAACGGGAGAAAATAGGTCAGAAATGCTGTTCAATAACAGCAAGAAAGGCCAGCACGAAAAACTCACAGGGTTATTTTAGTGTCTGATCCTAAAAGTTAAAATTTAGATCCGTCACGGTCCCGTCTCGCCGCCCTCTGTGACGAGCGTTCGCGCATCCCGCCTCACTTCAGAGCACAGAAGTTGCCGGCAGATACTTTGAAACAGAATCCGATGCAGCGGCTCTTTGAATTGCGCTCGGCATTAAAGAGACAATCAGCCCGGCTAAACAAGCATGAAGCAAAGATGTGGATTCTGTGGGGTCCAGCACATTTATTTTCAGGAGCTTTGTAAAATGCTGCCTTATCCTTTGATGTGCAGAGAACCATTTCCATCTCATTAGGCTGTAATAAATCACCTTTTAGATACCGGCTCTGATGGCAATTCCTCTCTTTTATGGGCCTTTGATGGTCATTACTCTTTTAGCAGGCCCTAAATATAGGTCTAAAAATGGCAGACCCCACATGGTCCTCATTTCTAATTCACACATCTGTCCTCGTTTAGTCTTCACTTTGTCGCTGTGAATATAGAACGTGGTAATACCTCCTCATGGCATAGATTCTGTCCTTTTTTTAAAGTTTGAGATTCATTTGTCAGCCATCTGTCAGTGTTTTTGTTAAGGGAGATGTGCATCACAGTTAGCTAGCTAAAACGATGATTCTGGCAAACCGCACTTGTGTTACTGCTGAGGTTACTCTGTAAATTACTGCGGGTCACTTTTTTTTACACTCTGGGCTCCGGGTTTCACAGATTTAGTAGTCCACCTGCAGATATGGACAGTTTGGGTGTTAGCTGATGAGTGCACTTAGCTGGAATGAGTTTTTACTCAGGGTTGGACGTGCAGATGGAGCTTTTTTTTSTAGAACATGTAAAACAGCTATTGATCAGTAGGTTGGCAGAAAGGACAAATAAAAAACTAAACTCATTCATAATCTAGTAGACTTTAGTGTAATGAGTCTTCGCTCTGAACAGTTTGCAAAAAGCTGAAACGACCAAACTCAGAACTTCTGCGACTGTTTTAAGTCACTCCCTGACTCAAAACAGAGGCTTCTCTTGAATCTACTGTAAAAAAAAAAAAAAAAGATCCCCCCATCATTTCAATAATGTGAGAACGACATCTAACCTGTGGACGGACCTTGAAATGATTATCAAGATTTCCATCTCTGAAGCCTCGGCCTTGTTTGCCTTCACAGAGCAGAAATGTGTGAGAACTCGCCTGCTTTATGGGTCTCTGTACCTCGGCCGCCTTGGGCTGAGATTAGATCAGAAATCAATACATATCAGCCAGGGATGTCTGAGCTGCACTTTTTACTGCCAAAGTCATTTTGAGTAGAAACCCTCAGGTGCTTTAAGTACCTAAAGTATGATTTAGAGAAGTTATTTTATTATAACTGTGTCAGTCTCTCGCTCTCTCTCTTTTTTTTTTTATTCACTGTTGAATCCCAAGTCGCCGGTTAGAGTTTTAAGAAAAGCTCAGCATTTTGACAAACATAAGTCTGTGTGATGTAAATCCACCAGGTCCTCCTGTGGACAACTACGTGAGCTTTTTATGCTGTCAGTGCATCAAAGACAATAAAACTGCCACTCAAGCGGTGGAGCCCAAGCACGACAGACYAAAAAGGCACTTTGTCTAAGATTTGCTGTTATCCACATTTAGATAATTTATCACACAAGGACCAGAAGGACAAAAAGACAGCATCAAATTCCTGATGAGAAATCCTTTATAGTTCTGCATTTTAAAATAAAATTTAACAAARCAGAGCTCACGTGCCAGATGTGGCCTGCAGGTGACTTCCGTCTAGCACCCCCCCCCCAAAAAAACCTTTTTTTATTCAATATGAAAATTGTTTCTTATATCAATGGTAAACTTTTAATTTATGATTAAATGCAACAAAATAGACCAATTTAAAAGGTAAAAGATAATAATTGTACTGGCCCTAAGCTGTTGGCTTTAAGTAACTGAGCAATTTATTTGGATAGCACAGTGTTAATGTCTGAAAATAAGCTGTTTTAAAGTCAGCATCAACCATAAACTACATCTCCCATAATGCATGTTGATCATCCATGGGAATTCCCTGTAAGAAAGTGGGAGAGTTCAGAATTCAAGATGGCAGCTCCTCACTAYAAACTCATCAGTGAGTAAAACTATTAGTTTTARGTTTAATAGAATTTCTTTATTATTTATCCTGGTAAAAACCAGACCCTGTCCTTCACTTTGCTTCATATGAGGGTCTGGACTCTTGGCTATAGAAAAGTGATTCTTGCTGGAGGCGTGGCCTCTGCTGAAGTTTAAAATGATTGGATCAGTTGGCCGCGACGTATGTGTGCGCCAGCTCCACTGTGAAGGAGGCTAAGCTAAGAAGCTAACTGGAAATCGCGTGCGCTGTAAACAACCCTACTGAGAGGAGAAATGTACCGAGGTGAACGAGACGACTGTAAATGAGAGCTGCTGCTTTGTCAGACAAGT